GGAAGAGAAGTGAGAAAACCCATGGGTCGAGACAAAGACAGTCCAACAGGCAAAGCAAAAGCTGTGCAAGCTAGCAAAGCAAAACAAGGAACCCATCCACCACCTCCCGTTCACAGGCAGGTGCCCCGGCCACCCCAGGAAAAGCAGGGCTCCACCACATGCAACGGCCACCCGGGAAGCCAAAAGCCACAACCCCAAACGTCTGCCCCCTTCCCCTCCTCACTGCTTCTTCCCTCAGCTTTATATGCTGAGCATGACATCATATGGTATGGAATATCCCTTTGGTCAGTTGGGGTCAGCTGTCCTGGCTGTGTTTCCTCCTGACTTCTTGTGCACCCTCAGCCTACTTGCTGGTGGGGTAGTGTGAGAAGCAGAAAAGTCTTTGACTCTGTGTAAACAGTGCTCAGCAATAACAAAAACATCTCTATGTTGTCAACACTGTTTTCAGCACAAATCCAAAACAGAGCCCCATACCAGCTACTATGAAGAAAATTAACTCTATCCCAGCCAAAATGAGTGCAGATGGTTATGTCACCTTAATGTTTTCCTCTGTGTTTATCTTTCTCTAACAGCTCTATGGGAAAAGTCATTTTGACTGAAGGATAGTTCCAAGAAATTCACCTTTGTAAATTTAAGTACTATGCTAGCCCTTTCCATTTCCCTGGAAATCACATGACAAGAACACACTACTCTGTTTCTTTCCTAAAAACCTACAGTACACATATCAGATCCTGATAACTTGAATACAAAATGGTTGATCTAAACACTTTTCAATCTGATCTGTGCACTGGGCCTGCTTTGTTAAATAGTTGGCCACTATTAGCCTTGTTTTAGGTTGAACTAATGAAAGCAGTGTTTTCGTCTCTCTCAGCAGCATCTATTTATCACTCAGTAGCAACAGAGAGCCAACTAGAATTTTAGGTTCTAATTTACAGTGACAATTTCTTCCCCATCATCATCTTACTTTGCATTTATAGAGTCTTTCCCTCTCATCCTGTTTCTCATTAGTTGAAACTTGTTTTGTATTGTTCACTCCATTTTCAGTCATTTATGTTATTCCTTCATTCTTTTCATCATTGGTGCAATCACTTTTTCAGAGCAATACAGAGATGCCAGTCTTAGCACATACCATAGATATGATTTAAAAGCCAGTCCAAAAGCATGTCTTATTTATTCTCTGAGAACAATTCCAAGAGCTTTCACTGACACAGGTAAATGAATGGGCTGACAACTACCTTGGTGACCATACAGTCACTAGATACAGTGATAATCTGCTCCCTTCTCCCCAGTTTATGACCAAAAGCATTAGGTTATAATTAGATCAAAACCTGACAAGAGACATAACATCACACTAAAACTTTTAATAATGTCTCCCTGAAATTTTTCTTCTGAGATGGTTATAGTCCAGCTTTCTCTGTCAAAACTACAGCAGGCTGAAGAAATATCTTTTAGATCATTTCTTTTGCAAATGGCTCCAATGTTACATTTACTTCCATTTAACAAAGGCCTAGGCTCTGCTTTTGTTTGGGTGCTCCATCAGTCACAAGGGACAGCAAGAAAACAATGAAAACAAAAAAAACCTACTCTACACAACAGCCACACAGCTCATCTCCACAGAACTGTAGGTCTTGCCAATTATCTCAGCATCAGTGTCCTGGGAAACTGCAGCATAACGCTCCCACAAACACAATTCAGAGTACCCTTCAAGGCAAGCTGGAAGAAAAGTTTTAAGTAATTTCACCCTCAGATGAGAGCTTGAATTATTCATTAAGGAAATTTCAGTGACTTAGTACAATCCACTCAGTGCCTCCAATATGCTATCACAGCATATTATAACCTTGTCAAAACAACATTATCTTAAGCTTTTCAACTTCACATATCAGTTACAGATCCAGATTTTCCAAACGAAGTAATTAACACACATGATGATGACATTCTACTTATTTAGTTTTGATGTCTCCAAGGAAAGAAACTGGTAAACAAATTAATATCATTTTAAAGAGCATTCTTGACTCCCTGCCAAGACTGGCACCTCTGTGTGGCTCCGAAAAAGTGATTGCACCAGCGATGCAAAGAACAAAGAAATAATACAGAGATATAGGGATTAAAAATGAAAACAACAATGCAAAAGTAAGGCTGTATTTTACAGGTTTCTTCAACTATAACTTTTGTATGATAATGTTGTGTGGTGTTCTAACTGTATCAGCATAAGCAAAACAGCACAACATCTCTTCATATGAATGTACTTCCCCAAGTAAACAGGTGCTTTATAGAGGCAGCTGTGCCTCAAAAAACCCCCAAACCCAAACTGCAGCCACACTAGGAAGAATATCTGAAGAAAATCCTAATAAGCTAACCAATGCAGCAATATTGATGCAACTTTCAAGGACCAGCTTTTGAATAAAACCCTAGAACAGAAAAGAAATGTTTCTTATAAATTTGTGCTGGAATCTGTTTTCTCTCAATTTTTTTTATCTGTCGTGACTAGGTGCATGTTCTCCATTTAGATAAACTGGGATGGGGATAAGCCTGCACGGAGTAGGATCAACTTCTACCCCTCAAGTCAATCACACAAACTGTATTTATTTTTTAAGAATCATTCATATGTTCTGGCATGCTGTGATACACTATCAAGCTACAAATCTATAAATTGTCTGTCCAGAGGGACCCTGACAGGCTGGAGAGG